GTAGTCCACAGTCAAATGCTTCACCATTTGCACTACCCAGAGATTCTTCTCCACCATCAAGATTCAAACTCACTGCCACCGAGTCCATTCATGGCGATCCTATACGACAGAGTAGACCTGCCCTGTGGCTTTCAGACTGTACCTCTGTTTGGGAGTAGAAAGTCCGGGCTTTCTCTTGACAGCGGCTGATGGTTTCAAGCCGCTGACCTTTCTGTTAGCAGCCCAACCCATAACCCACTATGCCACGAGGGCTCCTTTCTCCACCATAGTGTTACATAACTTTCCCCCCAATACATCTATCCATCTAACATTTTAATGTAAAGATTTATTCTCAAAAGGGCTAGTTTGTAATAACCCTCCCCCCAAACACACACCCCAATTTTGCTATTTGAGGGACATAGTTCATTTTGGACACCCAGGTGTTACCCATCAGCTTAATCATTCACTTAATTCACCTGACTTGTTTAGGTGATTCTTGACTATTTCCCAAAAAGGCATACATAATTCCATAGAGTTTGCCTCGGTCATGGAAGGCAGCTCCCAGAAGTGAACCCTTCCAGCCTGGCCCCACGCCCCACCCCCCACCCCCGGGGCTGCCGGGATGGGAAATTGGCTCCGAGGCACACGTTCTGGTGACTGTTTGAAAACCACTGTCATGGCTTCTGTCCTATGCCAGGGACTGTTCAATGAAAAGTTTGATGGCATCCTTACGGTTGTCACTGAAACTGACAACTCCGAACTAGAGAAAAGCGTTCTCGGCCTTTGCTCAGTCTGAATGAGGAATTCTCGACACGGCGTTCAGAAGTGATTGGCCAGTGGCCTGTTTGCTCTTGGGCCTCCCAGCTCTCCGAGCAGCAGGCCAACAGGCAGCCTATGATTGAAGCTACCAGAAGCAGCGCATCAGTCCATACGAGCTAGGATCGATCCTTCCTGTCCTATAATGAAAGGGAAGAAGCCATATTGGCCCAAGAGGTGAATAGTGACAATCTAACACCAGGCACTCCCAAGGGAAATCAGTCCACCACGCCGCTCCCGGAAAAAGCACATTTGAACTGCTCGGGGGGAATAATCTGTATAGCCACCCTCAGATTGCAATCGGGCTGCTTTTCTTCTAAGCAGGCAGCTCGGGGAGGTCAGACAGCCAAGCGCTCGACTACTAACCAAGAAGTTGAGCCCACCCGCAGGTGCCCCCAAAGACAAGCACCTGGAACCCAGTTCTACTCGGGAACATGCGCGGTCCCCATGCGTCAGGATCCACTTGATGCTTTTTGCCGTTTCATCTTTCCTAGGCTTGGCCTCTGAGAGGGGGACAGATGAAGGCCAGACATGTAAGCAGGCAATGCAGGACCAGGCCTCTACCACTCCGGAGCCAGGTGAGGGGCACTTTCCGTCTGGTTGGCAGTGCCAGGGCATTCTGACTTTCCACAAAGCCCAAGCCTCGCCAGGGGAGGAAGCCTGTGAAGTCCTGTCAGCCAAATCACACTGTATGTTGAGTGGCAGCCCCAAGCCTTCAACTGGGCACTGGTGGCTTCAGAGAAATGCAAATAGCTCCCTAGGCGTTTTCTGTATCTGCCCAGCTGCAGCAGAACCTCGGAGCCCTTGGTGGTGCTGTGAGCGGAACATTGGGCTGGTAACAGAAAGGCTGGGCATTCTGACAGTGTAAAGATTTCCAGCATTGGGAGGCCCATGGAACGGGTCTGCTCTGCTCGGTAGGATCGCGTGTGTTGGAATGGACTGACACGCAGCAATAACCTTCATGTTCTTCCAGCTCAGCTGGTTGGCAGTTACTGTTGAGTAGACGCTGGCTCTTGGCGGGCCCACATGTGCCCCGAGTAGAACTGTGCTCCACAGAGCTCGCAGTGGCTGGTCTTTGGGAGGCAGGTCACCAGGCCTTTCTTTGGAGGCACCTCTGGGTTGGGCTCTACTTGCTAACCCTTCGGGACGCAGCCAGAGGTATTGACCACTTACAGCACAGAGGTGAGGGGCTCCGCTTGCTGGTCAGACCTGGGTACTTTGCTTTCTGCCCTCTCCTCTCTGCTCAGCACAAGACTGGACCTAGCCTGCGCTGCCACTTTTCAGCCAGCCGCTCCGCATGACCTTCCTGTGAGAAGATCGAAGAAAGCACTCGGCTTCCTTGTCCTCGCCCTGGCGCATGAGATGGAGGGCTCCCAGGACTGCGTCCAGAATGTGCCTGTCTTGGAGCTGCCTCCTGCAGAGAGGGCCGGAGAAACTGCGATGTGATGGTTCTCAACTTCCTGACTGGCGAAGAGCCCCAACACAGAGGGCCTGGAGAGGTATAACGAGTCGGATTTTCCAGCAGGAGTGCTCATCTGTCATGGTTAATGTTAGGTGTCATCTGGCCAGGTGATGATTCTCGGTGGCTTGGCATTTACTGGACGGAATGCACATCCGTAAGATAGTATGAGACTCACTTTCCATGATATGATTGGATGTGAACAGCCAATTGGCTGAAAGGGGAGTTTCCTTGAGGGTGTGGTGTGCCTCCAGTATATATATATGTCTGGCAAAGCTTGCTCTTCTTCGGCCCTGAACTCTTCTTTGCCACTTGACCTCTCATCTGTGGGGTATAAGCTAGCAGGGGTCTCTAGCCTGCAACCTGATCTATGGATTTGGGACTTGCTAGCCTTCACAAGTGTGTGAGCCATGTCCTTGTAATCAATTTATCTCTATCTCTATCTATCTATCTATCTATCTATCTATCTATCTATCTATCTATCTATCTATCTATCATCTATCTATCCTCAGTCTGTCTGTTTACAAAGCTATCTATTGTATGTAAGTCTCACTGGTTCTACCCTAGCGAACCCAGGCTAAGACACATGCACTTTGCAGGGAGCCTTTTGCTGGTCATCACCTGGACATGTGCTCACCTTGGTAGCATCCCAGAGCCTGCCTGGAACTGCCTTTTTCTGGTCATCACAGAATCGAAAGTGAGGCAGTCAGTGGTGAAGGAAGCAGAGAGAGAGTGGGTGATGGAAATATCTGGCTTTGTATATTGAAAATTTCCTTAGAGTAAATTTCTTTGAGCTCAAATTCTGAAAACAAATGTGGGCCTAGAGCCTTTACTTGACAAGCAATAGTGGAGAAGTTTGACTATCCCTGAGGTCATTGCTTATAATCATTTCTAATGTAATACTGGAACCACCCTATACAATAAGGATTCCAGTCATTTTGAATTAGGACCTATCTTACCCCGATATGGCCTCAGGTAAACTCAACTACAAACATCTTCAAAGACTCTATTTCCAACCGAGGCCCCATTCATGGTACAAAGGGTTAGGGCTTCAGTACATCTTTTCATGAGATGCAACTCAGTCTCCCACAAGCACTTTCTGTCTGCTTGCTGAAATCCAACTCACAGGTGCGACTGCTAATGGTCTGATGCTTAGCTTTGAAGACATAGCTTCTCTTTGTGGGTGTCTAAGACCTCCAACAGCGAGGGGCCCTAGAAGGCATTGATTGGCCTCTTCCTGAAGGCATCAAAGATCCCCCACCGCCATACGCATCCAAGGTGTCAGGGAACCCAGGGCCCAGGGTCTGGTCTCTCCCTGTGGTTGTCAAAGACCCCTGACGTTTAGGGAGTCTGAGTGCCCTGTACCTGGCCTCTCCCTAGGATGCCCAAGACCTCCAACAAGAGCTAAAAACACCTTCAAAGACCCTGTTTCCAAACAAGGCCCCATTCGTGGTACAAAGGGTTAGGGTTTCAGTACATCTTTCCATGAGATGCACTTCGGTCTATCACAAATACTTTCTGTCTGCTGCAGCTGAAGTCCAGCTCAAAGCTGCCAGAGCTTCCAGGGCCGGGCTTTTCCTGGCAAGGGTCCTCCCTGGCGATCTTTTAGATGGAGGGAGCCTGGGGAGGCAGGTGCTGTGGAGCTTCTCACTGCCCCTCACTCCTCTGTTCAACAGGCTGCAGACGCCAACTCTGGCTCCCATGCGCAAGACAGAACATCTTTCCAAGCTTCACCCACAACACCAAGAACATCAGCCATGTTTCCCAGAACCGGAAGCAGTTTGTGGTTCGAAGGGCAGGCTATTCAGACTGTGGGCTCTACGCATCTAAAATGACCAACTCTCAGAGGGGCCAGGGAGATGTTTGGAGCCCCGGCAGTGGCTCAGCAGGGTGCTGGGCACACAAGAAGACCTGGGTTTCTGAGCCTGAGTCAGCATCTCAGTTCAATTTGAAAAGACTTTCCTGAACGCACGCGCACATTTCATCCCGGCCAGCACTTGCCCCGAAGTTCTGAACTTTGTACAAAAGGCATTCTCCTCGATGGCTATGAAGTTGGTTCCGGCTCCCAGCCACCCAGGGGTGGAAAGTACGAGGGGGCTTCAGAAAGCTCGTGGAAAATCAGAATGAAGAGATAATGGAATGTTTCCACGAACTTTCTGGAGCTTCCTCGTACAACTGTGCTCTGCAGGGTTCTCGAGACTGTGACCTTGACCTTTTAGCTAGTAGTTGAATTATTGACCTTTTGCGTGCGCGCGCGCACACGCACGCGCGCACACACACACACACACACGCCCGAGACCCAGTGTCCAAAGTTTTGTGTTTGTTTAGTTTCTTGTACTCATGTCCTCAGCTAACGTGCTATCTACCCGAGTAACTGGAAAGACCATGTTTTGTTAGTTTGTTTTAAAGGACCTAATGGTACGGATTGTTTCCTGCTCAGCTGCTAAGGGAAAGGCCACCCAGCAGCTCTGTGAACAGCCTAGCAACCTGCTCCCGTACAGATTCTAGCCAAGTAAGCTCTCGGGGCTCTCACACACAGTCGCTGGGAGTCAGAATCTCAACTTGACAGCGCCTGAAAACACAGCACACACACACACACACACACACACACACACACACACACACACACACACACACCCCTTAATAGATCTGGGAAATTCACTTCTCAACATACAGAGCCCATTGAAAAACCAACGAGGGTGAATGGTGAAGAGGCCAGCGGCTGGCGGCTCAGGCCTGCACTTACGCTTGTTGGCTTTCAGCTTCCTCTCATCCACAGGAACGAGGTCCAGGTAGTCCAGGTAGTATTCATAGCTGCTGCCGGTGGTCGAGGAATTGGTCCTGTTGGCCATGCTGGCAGCACCGGAGCCAGCAGGCTTGTCGGGGCCCCTAGGGGGAGATGTCCTAACTGATTTCCGGAGTAGTCATTGAAGTGTCACTGTGGTGTCCAGGTTCAAGGCCTGCCCAGGATCGATCGAGGACAGTTAGGCTGGGAGAAAGGCTGTGTGTGTGTGTGGTGCGCCCCACATTCCCGGCACACAATCAGAGCCTCTGTGGCTAACACTCTGAGACAAACAGAGCTGAGAGGTGGGAGAATGCATTCCGAGCATTTCACTCTTGTTTGGAAATGATGCCGGCCTCTGGAGAGAGGAGATGCCGACCAGGGCCAGGAAAAGCAACCACGTAAATCACTGAGAAGTTCATCAAACCAGAGCCCAGACCTGACAGTGCCCTTGACTTACTTTAAGGCTGCTCTTGGGAGGATGAAGCAACCAGCACATCGCTGGCTGACTGGTGATGTCGGCCCTGAACTTGGTAACCTTGCTCATGTCACACATCCCATGAATTAAAGCCAAAGGCGCCTTCCCCTCTCCCCACCGCCCCTACCCTCAGATTGAGAACAGCCGCTTGGCTTTTATCAAAGTCCCTAAGATCCTCTGAGGGTGGGGACCTGTTGTTGTTGAGACTGAGGGGCTGTTGAGCTGGGGGGGAGCTCTCCCGTGGATTGAGCTCTTGGGAATCCGGGTCCCAGGGTGCGTCCAGCTCCCTGCTGACGGGGAGTGTGCTGAGGGGCCTGAGTGGGCTGGCTCCATGTTCTACTCTCCGTCTGTGAAGATCACAGACACTGTCGAGAAGAACAGCCATGGGAGGAGCTGCCCTTGGCTTCCATCCTCGTGTTTGGGACAAGCAATTCCAGCTGTGAGGCCGGAGGGGAAGCAAGCACTCTCACTCTGTGTACCAATCAGAAAGCAACTCTACGGAGCGGCTGGTATTTCAGAAGTAGATCTCCAGGACTTACTTCTAAGGGGCCTTGTGTTTGTAACACCTACTCAAAACAACACCACCAACAGCAGCAGCAACAAGCTCCTCACTCATAGTGACAGGTAGAACTGCCTGTTTAGGACAGGTAGAACTGCCCCTGTGGGCTTCTGAGACTGTCGCTCTTTATGGGAGCAGTAAGCCTCATCTTTCTCCCAAAGAGCGGCTGGTGGTTTGGAACTGCTGACCTTGCCGTTATAGATCAATTCCTCACCATTAGGCCACCAGGGGTCCCTCCCAGGGCCTTTACAGAGTTTAAATTAAGAAAGCCAGGTAGAACATTTACAGCACTTCCTTGCCCGTGATGGTGTTGCTGTTAGCTGCCATCAAGCTGGTTCCGACTCCTGGTGACGTCACGTAGGCTGAGAAGGCCTGATCCATTGGGTTTTCCGGTCTGTGGCCGTTCAGAAGCAGATTGCCAGGCCTGGGTGGGTTCGAACTGCAACCTTTCAACTCGTAGTTGAGCACTTAAACCATTTGCACCAGCTAGGCAGTTGGTAAATATTAGCTTCTATTGGTTCCTCAAGGCACCCTGGTGGTGTCGTGGGGGTGCGCTGGGCTGCAAACCATAAGGTGAGCAATTTGAAACCACCAGCCACTCCTCAGGAGAAAGGTGAGGCTCTCCACTCCTGGAAAGATGTGCAGTCTTGGCACCCCGCAGGGGCTGTTCTGTTAGGGGTTGGAATCCACCGGATGGGAATGAGTTTAAATTGATTCCTCACCAAGCCAATTAGTGGCCGAGTCCAGATTAAACCCCTGACCTTGCAACTCCCAGTTCAAGGAGCTTTCTTTGGCCTCATGCATTCTTCAGGGGAAAATGAGTGAGACATGGACATGATGTAGGAAAAACAATATATTGCCAAAGGAAGACCATATGACATTAAGACACAGGCACATATCTTAAAAAAAAACAAAGACTCATTCTCAACTGGGAGTTGAAGGTCAAGTGAATTGACGTAGAATATTGGAGAAGAGCAATGTGACTAAGGAGAGGTTCAGTTGCAAGACTGACTGAAAACTGGTTGACAAGAAGAAAGACATCGGGCCTCTATCTTTGAAAGATTTGGTGGAAAAGGAACAAAATCATGCCACCGAAAGAACCTACTTCTATCACGTCAATTCTGACTCACAGCGAGCCCATGGAGGGTGTCCAAGCCTACACATCTTACACAGAAAGAAAGCCTCCTCCTCCCTCCAAGGAGCTGGTGGTTTTGAACCCCTGACTTATTGGTTAGCAGGCTAGTACCTACCCAACAGAGCCCCCAGGGTTCCTCGCTCTGTCTTTAGCTGGTCACAGATACCATTGTAGGGCACTTAGCATTTATCGATCCAATTTGCTCGATATTTTTCTCTTCTTATTTGGAACTTGGAAGGTTGGCGTCAAGAGGACACAGAAAATTGATAAGTGGAGTGAAAAGCAAAATGATCGAGTCCGGTGAGAAGGCTTGCCTTTCTGTTTGCCAGTCCAAATCCTCAAATGTAGGGTCTGGGTTGTCCAAGACAACCCCCTCAGTGCCACCAGGCATCAGTGCCCTCCCCTTCTCTGAGTTGTCTTCACGATCCTCTTCACTGACCCAAGCCAACCACTCCACATGCAGGCAAAACTGGTTAAGGGAAACGGAAGAAGGACTCAGGTATTAAAATCATGGTGTCGGCAAAGAATATTGGATAGTCCGTGGACCACCAGAAGGACAAGCAAATCTCCTTTGGAGGAAGCTCAGCCTTGGAAGTATCCTTAGAGTGTGCTCCGTAGAAGTGAGGATGACCAGACGGCATCTCACATGCTCGGTCATTCTCAGTCCCTCGGGAAGAACGTCATGCTTGGTAAAGCCCGGGAAGCGCAGAGGAGGAACGCTCTCAAGGAGGTGGTTTGCCACAGTGGCCGCAGCAGTGGGCTCCCCTGTCACAGTGAGGGTGGCCCAGGACCACGCAGGGTTTCCTTCTGTGGTCCTGTGAGTCGGTCACTGTGAGTTGGAATCAGCTCAATGGCCCCTAACCACACCGACCACTGTATGTATTTTCCAGGAGCCCTGCTAGCAGAACGGTTAAACTCTTGGCTGTTATTTGAAAGGTCAGCAGTTCAGACCGCGGGAGAAAAGACCTGGCGATCTGCCTCCATCAAGGTGACACTGAGGGGCGGGTCACCCCTGCCACACGGAGTCATGATGGGCAGCAGTCAACAACAGCACAAAACCATGACCACTGCTCGGAAACATATTTTGAAAGGTAGGTTTAATAAACTGCATAAGGTGTGCAAGACTTCAGTGTGTAGCTTGATGAATCTTACACAAGCACACATCTGGGGAGCCATGATCCAGATCAGATAGTGAACCTTTCCATTTTGTCAACAAGCCCTCCTACTCCTTCCTGGTCAAGTCTCTCTCCTAGTAAATCACAGAGAGCCACTCTTGACCTCTACCATTCACACACCTCTACCCTCATAAGCGTGTTTCTGTTTTTGAGCTTGATGTCAGCGGAATCCCACACACACTACATCCAGCACGCGCCCTTCATCTGCGTCTTTCATTCTGCGTTGCGTCAGCAGTTGCTGGCTCGTTGGTATACGGCGCAGTGTCCGTTGTATGAATATGTCATTATGTGATTTATCCACCTTCCTGTGCACGAGCATTTGGGTTCTTTGCAGTTAGGAGCCATTATGAATCAATGGGCTATGTGCACTGCTTCTCCTGTCTTGGGTGGGCATAGCACAGATTTCCCTTGGGTAGAGATCGGGGTGGAATCAGTGAGCATAGTGTCTATGAGAGGACGTCACAACAGTAGTGGAAAAGCGGAATGGAAAGGTGCAAATAAAACATATAAGCTGTACTTCTCCACCAAGGTTCGTAAGCCATGATAACAGCCAGTTAGTCCCTCCCAAAAGAACCGAGGGTCCTAGGAATTTTACCATGTCAAGGAGCTTTTTAAAAATTTATTTACTTTATCAATTGAAGAAAAATGAGTGCCCTTTAAAGATTTTTTTTTAAAGATTAGAAAACAAGAAGTCAGAGGGAGACAAATCAGGACTGTAAGGTGTATGCTAGTGCTTGCCCACAGGGACTTGTGAAATCTTGCCCTTGTTTGATGCGTGGGATACACAGTAGCATCGTCATGGTGGACTCTGTGGCCAAGCTTTCTCAGGGACTGTTCTGCAAAAGCTTTGGCAATCTCTCCCAAAAAACTCTCCTAATAAGATCGTTGGTCTTACAGAAAGGCGACAAGTAGAGTTCCTTAGGCACCCCCAGACTGTTCTAGGCTCTTTGTTCTTGGCCTGTCTGCTTTTGCGTTGACTGGACCTCTTCCACCTCTTGGTAGTCATTGCTTTCAGTGCGTTTTGTCTTCAGGATCATACTGGTAAAGCCGTGTTTCAGATCCTATGACAATTTAGTTGTCTTCAAAAAGTCAAATATAGAACTCCCAGTAGCCCAATCTTACACACGCATAAGAGTGGACAGCAGAGGAAAAAATAGACACTTGTACCTCAAGGTTCTCTGCAGCACTACCCACAATAGTAACAAGATGGAGACGTCTAAGTGTCCTTGAACAGTTACATGGATAAATAAATGTGGCGCATACATAGAATAGAATCTCACTTAGTTACAAAGATAAATGAGGTTATGAAGCATACTTTCTAAGGGTACAAAAGAGACCCCAAGTCTCAAATGCAATGTAAGGAGAACAGCTATTAAGTCTGAAACAAGAAAAGACAAGACAAAGAAAAATACATTATTTGGATGAGGGAGACAATTAGCAGGTGGTCTTCAGGGCGTCCACGGGTTTACAGCAGTGACTCGGAGGCTAAAATAAAATCTTGGAGGAGAGAGGAAACTCACAGAAGCAGGATCAAGAGCCGAGAACTGCATCACAGTTGAATTTGGGCCGAGAGAGCGGAGTGGGCCTGTCACGGACATGCAGACACGATGCTAGACAGAATCACTTATAGGATCGGCCCGGGCTCTCTCGGCAAGGCAGTGAAGACATCGTTTTTGGTTCTGCAACCGCAGTCTGGCAAGCTCCCCCAAAACGACACCCCGGGGAGCCCCTACGGGAGGCTGCAGGAGTTTCCCCGTCTGAGGTAGTTGAAATCCCCTTTCTAACACACTCTGCCTAAGGAAGGTGCACGAACAACCTGAGATGTGCCCATGACACAGCCTTGCTTGCTGACAGGGAGGAGGACTTGAAGCCCTTGCTGACGAAGATCAAGGACTGCAGCCTGCAGTATGGATTACAACTCAATGTTAAGCAAGCAAACATTTTATAACTGGACAAGTAAACAACCTGATGCTCGGAGGCAAAACAAAGTGAAGTTATCAAGCATTTCATTTTACTTGGATCCC